GATCTTCTTCTTGCTTTCGAGCCACCACAAGAGGAGAAACTGGTGCGATCAAGATTCCTGTCGATGCGACAGGGTAAAATGGCGATGCGCGACTACGTACAGATGGCTAGGCATCTGGCGTCGTGTATTATCACGCACCCCATCGACATGTACACGCAGGTATGTCTTTGTGGATGGTTTGCGTGAGGGGCATACCCGCTTATCGCTGGAGCGCGCCGAGCCTGCCACATTGGAGGAAACATTTGCCATCGCACTCCGTGAAGACTTTAGGGTCACAAAGGCATATACCAAACCCTCGGTCGTCACCTTTCCCCGGACTTCTGGTCCAGAACCTATGGAGATCGACGTGATTGGGTCGTCGGGTGAACGGCGACGTGTCTTTCATCCCATAAAGGTGACGCTCGCACCGGGCGTCAAATGGTTTGCTATCGTTGTCGCAATCCAGGACATCGCGCGGCAGAGTGCCGTGCGCCAGCGCCGATATCGGTGCAAGTAGTGGATGCCCATCATGAGGGTGCTGTACCGGCAGAACGTCCAAAAAAACGGTCGGGACCAGTAGGTGCAGGGCGCCCTACTGGTTGGAACGGAGGTCCGGGTCCCCCGGTGGAAGCCCAACCTTCCAGTCCTCCTGCGCTACGCGCACGGTTAAATGCCACCAGAGCCGACTGTGCAATCCGACAGTGATGTAAACATCACTGTCGCCACGCTGAGTACCAGCGTCTTGTCGTCGAGTAAGCTCGACGACATTAGAAGGGCATGCGCACAAGATAATGATCTTGTACGCCTGATGGAGTATCTCAAGTAACCAACCACGCAAACTAAGAAGCGCTTGCCTGCCATGTATCGATCTTCTCTCGATCGATACACCCAGCGGAACGGCTTACTGTACTACACAGCCGTCAACAACGACACGCCTTGTGTATTTGTACCGCCACAACATGATATCAGGTTATGGATCATGTTTGAATGTCACGATGCACCAATAAGTGGGCATCGCGGCCGTGAGAAGACTTACCTCACGGTCAGTCGCGACTTTTACTGGCCACGCTAGTATAAGTTTGTGCGCAAGTACGTGCGTGCTTGCGAGGTGTGTCAACGAGTGAAGCCTAGTCCTTCACTCCGTGCACCATTGCAGCCTCTACCTGTTCCGGCAGAGTGCTGGGAGTCCGTATCACTGGACTTCGTCTTTGGGTTTCCCAAAGACACTCACGGGAATAATGGTATTCTCGTGTTTGTGGACAGGTTCAGCAAGATGGTTCATCTTGTTGCTGTACCTGAGTCGATCACAGCAGAGGGCTGTGCTCGAGTGATTACCGATACAATCTTTCGATTGCACGGGTTACCCCGTGAACTTGTGTCCGATAGGGACCCCCGGCTCACGGCTGAATTTTGGCGTTCCGTGTTCCAAACACTTGGAACACGGCTCACAATGTCTACTTCTAACCATCCAGAAACTGATGGTCAGACTGAACGCGCCAATCGCGTCCTCTAAGAGATATTTCGAGGGTACGTTCACTCGTTTACGAGTTGGAGTGAGTTCTTGTCGATGGTCGAATTCGCCATCAACAACTCAGTGCATGCGTCCACGACGCATACACCGTTCTACGTGAATGGCCTTCGCCATCCAAGTGTTCCCACCTTAGTAGAGGATGACTCTAATTTAAGGGGGGAGGGACTCGCTCGAGCGAGAACCAATCTGTCTCTTGCTCATCACGCGACGACGTTATGGTCGACGCGAAAGTAACCGAAGTTCATACCATTCGACCTCGGTGAAGAGGAAGAAAGTAAGAGCGATGACGCTATTACTAATAACGATGCTGAAGATATCAGCATCGTCCGAGGTATCAAAAGTGAGAACAGTAATGTTCTCACTGAGTTAGTAACCGATATCTCTGCAGTGCATTCACAATGCACTGCAGCCAAAAGCAACGAGTCAGCCGAGGATTTCCTGCTGACTCGTGAAGCGGTAGTCCGTTTCGTGCAAGACTATATCGCAGAAGCGGTGGGCAAGCAAAAAGCGAAACGCAGACAATAATGGAAGGGCAAATGCTCAGACATTTATTGAAGGTGATTTAGTTTTACTGTCAACAGTAAACCTACCTAAACATGGAGTGACTAACGTGAGCAGCAATAAATTGTTGCCCAAGTACATCGGCCCGTTTCGTGTATTGCGCCGCCTAGGCAACGCATACACGATCGATTAGCCACGCAGGATGCGTACGCATCTTTTTTTTTTTTTTTTTGTTTTTTTAATTTTTTTTTCAAGTCCTTTTTTTTTTTTTTTAACAAATTTTGTTTTAGGGTTTTTTATATTTTTTATGTCGCCAGCTCGTTACTTAGAGAATGAAGTCGCCGTTCATTCTCCAACAGTGCGACAGCATTGTTTGCCCGAGACTTCTCATGGTCAAACCCAAGCTGTCGCAAAATGTCCTCTAAGCGGCGACGCTTATCCCGTTCGTGATCAACATCACAACGTAGCTCACGAGTTACACGGGCAAACCCGTCTAACTTGGCAGACAAGTCCGATGAAAGAATCGGACAGGGTGTTTCCCTTTACCACCGCATCCGTCTGGTGGACTCCCATGGCGGGAAGCGCTTCCTCGTGGAACGCTTACTAAATCACCGCGAGGTGAAGGGACGTCGGACGAGTTATCTCGTCCGGTGGCGTGGCTATCCGCCTTCGGCGGGTAGCTGGGAACCTCGGGCCCAACTGATGGCCGGCGTTCCCGGCCTTGTCGAACAGTACGAAAAGGGTCACCCGATGGTAAAGAAGGACCATCGGAAAACGAGCGCCCAGCGCGTTCGTAAAGGGATTGCAAAGTAGCAATCCCTTCACGCATCTCAGAAGAGATGTGAGATCTCCACCAGGGCTCATTAAGGAGGTACGCCTCCTTAGGCGCTCTTGACGAGGTGCTCAGGCACCCCGGACATGGGTCGCCTCAAGAGAGGCATAACAGGCCTGCCTCTCTAGACAACCGGTGCAAACGATAGCATGCACCGGAAGTGCTTCGTTTCTCAAACTTATTGCGACTAGCATCACAGCCTTGGAAACCAAGCCTTTTTCCCAACGTTTAAAACGTTGGTGATAAACGCGTTCCAAGATTGGAGGAATGCGTCAGCCTCACGCTTCTTGTGTGGTCCATACCATCGATGTTCAAGGAACACATCGACGTAATAATCGTTCTCAGTGCGAAAGTTCTTCGCACTGGTGTCAAGGCCGTGAAGCTTTGACGCATCAAACAACGGTATGGGAAACCGTTCGTTGGTCTTTCCAGACCAACGATCAAGCAGATGCTTAGATAGCATCCATGGCTTGCGATCAGGAGCAAGACGCAAAACGTTGCGATCTAAAGCCTCCTGCGTGGTGTCAACAAAAGTACCGACACCACGAGCGTTAGTGTCAACAGAAGTACCGACACTATGATTATTGATGTCAGTAGAAGCATGACATCACCCTTACGGTCCCCACCCGAGTCACTATCCTTCGACTCGTTTGGCGAGTCGTCTGATTCATCAGACGACCCGAACATTTCACGGTACAATGATTCACTTAATGTACCACGATCCCTCTTCGTAACATTCGACGACGAGGTATCACCCCGGGGAGAGCCCGGGAGCGACACATGTGGCTTGAGTCGGATGCGTCATCCGACTCACCAAAGTAGTCGACGACTAACTTTGGGTCAACATCTTCACGTGGCGAAGCGCTACGTGAACCTGCAACAGGCGTTTCAGGCTGATATTGACTTCCAGCAGACACATTAGAGTCTGCTGGCTGAGGCTGTGAAGCCTCAGTAGCGGCTGGACGCCTGTGTGCAGCCGAGCTTTTGGCTGCCTTGGCAGCGACGCGCATTGACTTTGTCATAGCGTAAAAATGTTGGAAGAAAAGAAAATTCAACAAGTGCTCCTTTCCCATAGTCATTAAACAGTCACTAATGTGACTGTTGGTTGAGGGGGGGGTGATGTAACGGGGCGAGCCCGTTACATAATATTGACACTTATATGAAGTGTCAATAAAAATATTATTATACCTAATAATATTTGACAATATTATCTTTTCTTACAATATTGTTCCTAGATCTCCTTGAAGTTGGAGATGCCCTCTCATTGGTTGATATGGGCCATCATATCAACCAACACGCTGACTAATGACCAATGGACGCGCGCAATGAGTGGTGGGCAAGTTGTCAAGATACATAGTTGTAGTTTAATATAGTTAACATAGAGTTATAACCAGATTAGTTTTATTAAGATAGTTAACTATATTGAATACAGTTTTCTTTTCCTCAACTTCTAAGCGTATCGTTTAGAAGTAAAGCTTCCTCTGCCTCTTGTGTAAGAGAGGTAATTGAGGCACCTGCTTTTACTGTAATCAGTGTAATCAGTGTAATCAGTATAGTCGGAGGTGGCCCCATTACAATACCGCTGTCTGCCGTCTACTATTCGGGGAGATGAAGGTGAATATTTGGTCCAGCTAGAGGAAGATGAGTCGACTTTAGCTAAACCATATCATTCACCTTCATGGCGGAGGAGCAACACAGCGTTGTTGACGAAGGCGGACGAGAAAACCGGTGCGGATGATTTTGTAGAGAAGAATAAGAAGCGCTGCTGGGAGTCCAAGAAGAAGGGTGCCAACTATCGGAATAAACTTGTTTTCCATCAATCGAATTCTTCCGCTTGCGAGCTCGAATCGGCACTTATTTTACCCATTGTGATGGAGAGAGTCTAGGAGAAGCGTGACGTGTGAAGTAATTGATACATAATGGCTCAAGCACTGTATCACTTCTGCGCCACTTAACACGCTCTTTGTTGACTAGGTGTTGCTCGGCTGAGTACGCTATCTTTGTGTATCATTAGGACTCCACGTTTCTTCGTATTATCAAAGACTCTATGGTACAAGGTGGAGATTATATGGAGGTACTGACTGCATACAAGTAATTCAATTTACATGCAAATGGGTACATCATCCTATTCACATCCTTACTATTGTGTTTGTAAGCTTATGCAGATCCTAATAGCTCTTCAATTGCCTTCAAGAGTGATACTGCCGTGGGTCTCTTCTCCGGACTCTCCTGCAAACACTCTGCTTTGATTGTCTCCAGCTTAGCCGGAAGATCGAAGATGGTCGACGTCTGTATGAGGTAGCCCACGCTCCAAATGTCGACCTTGACCGTATGGGACGGACACGACAGTATTTCAGGAGCATGCGAATCCGCCTTCAAATGTTTCACATTTGCAGCCGGTGACAGTGCCCCGTCGTCGAAGTCAATCAGAAACCACTTGTCATCTTCATCTGGGTACTTCGGCACGTTATCCCATCTCAAGTCGCGATGCATTATATTGATTGCGTGCAGTGCCACTAGCGCCTTGAGTATATCGCGTAAGGCCGTCAGGAGCTGGTGGACGTTTCTCAGGTGCAGCTAGTCGGCCAACAGGAGAAAGCGTTACGTGTCTTTTCTTCATGTTTCCACTTTTTAGCTGCACAACGTTCGGGACCGAACGTTCCCTCATTCGACGATGTAATTCCTTCAAGTTCTGAATGATGGTGTCACTTGGCATATCCGAGGGATACGTCTTCACCACACAATCCTCTGCAAACGATATCTGCACACCATTGCCTCGTTCGATAGTGCCGTACTCGCGTATGCTCAGCGGCCAGTTGGGAAAAAGATCCACAACTGGTCGAAAAAGAGTCGAAAGATTGAGCAATGCGAGAAAAAACGAAAGCCGGCTACTGAGATGCTTCAAATTGTACGTTTCGATGATTTCCACTTTTGCACCACGTTTTGTCATCTCGTCTTTACGAATAGCTACCAAACACACTTCCAGTCCCACAGCAGCGTAGCCAAAAATGTATGGCACATCGTCATACTTCCATATCAGTTTCTCGTGCAATTCTTTGATCGGCACGTCCAACGCTCCATTTGCTTTTTCTTCCCCGCAAAATACGCACACACTTCTATCGCCGTAGTAGAAGCATAAATCTGGTCGATAGAGGACAGTAGAAGAAGATGCATTCGCATGGCGAGCATAGCTCCCGCCTACCACGCTCTCCAACAGTGTCGCAATGAGATTATCCCACATCCAATGGTATGTTACTTCGGTTACGAACTCAACGCGGCGACAGCTAATAAAATTCCTTACGATCGCTATAGTTTCGCTCCCAACTCGTTCACGTAGTTCGGGTTCAAATAAGTCGTAGAAAGTGCTAGTACACTCTCCAGTTGCGTCTAGCACCATGACCTTCTGGCTCAACTCTTCAGTGACGGGGATTTTCATACGAAGCGGGCGTTGCAAGTACTTTCTCAAATCTTCACAAGTCAATGGTAGTACTGTAACCTGCTCGTTCTTGATTGCCTTCATCCAAGATTCCGGGGCGTCGTCATCCATCAACCTTCTTCGCTTTCTCTTGTTACCAAGTGCTGTAAATTGCTCAGGAACCACCACCAGCACGTGAATTTGTCTCCCTACTGTATCCTCCATACCTTCAAAGAGAATCGGCAATATAATCGTCCATCTGCAGCTTTCGGCCTTCTTTCGTTAACTCTACAACGTGATGAGTCTTCTCGCCCTTCTTCAGCTTTATTACATCGTCCGAGCTCGAGGCCAGCCACTTGCCCTCTACCATCTTGGCAGGAAAGAGCTGCAGGTTGCGCGCGGAACATTGAAAATCTGGATTCTCCACCTTGATAGCCTTCTTTAATTCCCCCACTAACTGTCTCGTGTCAATATCCACAAGAAATACGCTTTCCTTCGTACCTACGATCGTGCATATCAACTTTACCATGCCTTCTTTAGTCGGCAAATTGTCGAATGAGCGACAAAGAACCAAGTATTTGTAAATGAATATGACAGATGGATATGTGACACCATACTGGGATCAAAATGGGGGACATCCTTTCATTCTGACTGACTGACTACCAGAATAATTTATGTCGATGCCCTTCTCCTACGCAAACGACTTCGACGAGTAAGAATTGTCCTTTCTCATTTTGTCGATCGAGGAGGCATTGGAGCCGGTTCACTGCAAGTGTGATTACAAAAAGAGTAGAAGAAGGTCACATCCGTCCCTCTGATGTCTCTTCTGGCTACAATGAAGAACGATGTTGCCTTCATGGATGCCCCGTTTCTGCTTGTTGCAGGTAATGAAGTGTGTCCACAGACACAGACCGTCAAGCACCTTTTTGAAATCATGCGCAAGCAGAAGTTTGATACTTTGCAGAGCAAAATGGATTGGATTACGAACGATGCCACTGTGACCCACTACAAGCAGATTAAAATGTTTGAACCGATATAAAAGTTTGTGGTCGCTACAGTCGCTCACGACGCCCCAATTATTCTCATCTTGGCCTTGTACAAGTCCAATGTGGACGTGGTGTGCTAGTACATTTGCTGCAGCATTCCCATCCCAAAGCAAGGCTTTTCCTCGAAGCTCAAGCTGATGGCCATCTGTACATTTGATGTGAATATGCCTGGTGATGACGTGAAGAATTTCAAGAGTGGCGTCGCAGGTGACATTATTCTGGAGGGTATGCTGCGTGTTGGCGACGAGATTGAAGTGCGTCTGATAGTGTCAGCAAGGACGAGTAAAGCAAGATGACTTATGTCCCTGTAGTGTCGCTTTGTGTGAACAAGTGCGACCTTCAGTTTCCGTATGCGGCTTCGCTTTAATTTATACACGGATGAAGGTCATTGAGATCTCGTACGCTGATCTTTTTCATTCGCGACCCAATACTCTTCCCAAGCTTTATCTACTCGCAGAATCGTCTGCCCGCTTCTCACTTGAAAGATGCCAATATGGTTTGGGATTTCCTTTCACTCCGTCCTGAGTCACTGCACATGCAAACGTGGCTTTTTTTCAATCGTGGAATTCCAGCCGGCTACCGATTCATGAACGGCTACAGCAGTAACACGTTTGCTAATGTCAATGCTGAGAGGGATGCCGGTTATAGAATGTAAGGGCGACTGCAACGCTATTAAGTTATATCACATGGACCACATATTCTCACCCGTGACAGATAGCGTCAATTGTCAAGATATGTGCTTCAAAGTATAAGTCAAGCTGCATCGCGCATTGATTGACGTATTCTTGCAACTCGTTCTAAAGAACGAAACTTCAATAACTCGCCCTTCCTCAATTACTGGTTATGAGTTCGTAATGTTGGTTTGCATATGAGAATACCAAACACAGATAATAGATGCCAATCTGTTGGAGTATCTTGACAAGCATCTCCGATCAAAACGAATCACGACACTGGTATAGCACGCCACTTTCTACGGACGATGTAGCTTAAGGAAAGCGTATTCATAAAAAGTCACAGCTACACTGGGCGTGGATCCCATTAAATGTACAAACGACGTCAAGAATCACAAGAAGACCTAGCACTCCATAGTGAAATGACGGATGACATAATGTTTGAAACGCGTCATCACAAGCATGTTTCCTCTCCGCCTCCCAATATTCGTACGGTACTTGTGGAGTCGCTTGACAAAGTTGCAGATAACGCTGGCGATGGTGCTTTTTCAGACCACACGGACACTTTTGCAGGAAATCTAGGAATCGTCAATGAGGGACCAACACCGTCAAGTTTGAATGTGGCTCACTGACAATGCTTGTCAGGAATTTAGACAAAATGATAGCGTTATGAACGAGGTTCCTTCGCAACTTGCTGTTGACGAGCTTGCCGCCTTCAACGTAAACAAAGATGCAGAAAGTTTGACCAGAGAGATGCTATCAGAGAAAGAAGATGAAAGCGCAAATGAACAAAACTTTCAATTGACAAGCGACAACGCCACGGCAGACGAGCATCCAGTCGAACACATATTACAAAGTGAGGTCGTGCCGCTGGATTCGAACGCATCGATCCAAGAAACGATTGCCTTCATGTCGCCGCAAAGATCGGATGCACCAACAGATATCCCGACAAGGTACGGCTCAACCTCAGTCTTTACTGAAGCGCTCTGTTTCCACGTCTGACATAGTTGCTGTGCTTTTGTAATGATAAAGGAAAGCTGTGTTGCAAGCTCTCCATCATATGTCGTGAAGGATACCGACCACAACACCCCTGGTAGTGCGATGAACGCTATGGAATTATCTGCAGAAAGCAGTGAAGAAAACCAAGCAGTGTCTGTTGACCCTGAAGTTCCGCTCGAAAAGGAGTCGCCCGTTCAAGTACCAGTAGTATCTGAATATAGTGTGCAATACGACTGCAGTTTGAACAAAGAGAAGCCCACTGAGTCGACCGTTGATAGTATCGTCACCTATACTATTCGAACTAACAATCATGCCATTGCATCGTTAGAGCGACTGAACGAGGTGGAAGCCGATTACAAGAGTGCGAAGACTTTGCTTTCGATACAGGAAGATAGATTGCGTCAAGTGAAAAGCAGCAGTAAAAGTTGTCGAAGGATGGAAATTCTTTGCGGCATTGCTTATGATCTACAGTGGCATGTTGCTTCTCCTTCGTGCGGCTTGAACGAAATCTCGAAAACAAGAGCTGTTGGGTAAGCTTGACACCTACCTTGAAGCTATATTGATACGAAAGGAGCAGACACTGCAAGAAAGAGCTGACGCGTTGCAAGCTGGCTTAGAGCATTTTCTAGCTGTGGACATACCTATTGTCGATAACCAAGTTGCCGAAAAGAAGACAGAAGCTGTTAAGCTTAACAGCATTTCGAATGGCAACAATATGCCATTAATTCAAACTGATATGCACGACGACCGACCTGGTGATGGAAATGATAGAGTGTGGGAGGAAGATGATTCGTTTGAAGAAGGAGCATTTGATGACCTGGCAAGTGAATCAGATGAGCAAGAAGATGTTGCGGCGCAGGTTTCTTCTGAAAAGAGTAACTTGAAACTCGGAGGTGATTTTCTGGCCGTAAAGATGGAAGAAGAGGCGTCGCTTCGGTGGCCTCGCGAGCTACCGCCGTTTTTGTGGTCCCTACTAGAACGAGTAATATCTTCTGATCCACAATCGTACGTTATGAGGGTAACACTGAAGCGATTGATCGATGAAATCGCAAAGGGGGACCCATACTATTACCTGCACCCGACGAATGCGTCTAAGAATGCGAATGTATCTTCGCCGTTGCACTCGTCGCCCTCGCCAGGCTGTGAATTCGGATGCCGGGGCGCGTCAGCTTTGAAGTGGGAGCGAAAACTCGTGTCACAAATCAGCTCGCGGATGAAGTCCTTTGATAACGTAGCGTATTCGCTAGCCCGTAGTAGCGGAGGCAAAGAAGTCCTTAACCGCAAGAAGATGAACTCGATAATCCGCAAATTGCATCTTGTTGCGATGCAGCTGCACTCACTGGTATCACACCTGTATTGCGTGAAGGGCCACGTGACATGCAAAGAGGTTGATTCACTACCAGTGGCACTGAATAATTCTCATTTTGAGCGCAAGATGGGTGTATACAAGTCAAGGCTAAAGCTTGTGGTTCCGCATAAGTATCAGCAGCAGACTCAACAAGAGCAACACAGTTCAAATGAACCTGGCGAAGAGATTTTACGGGAAACGTACGAGTTCTTTCCCGAGCTGCTCTTCTGTATTGATATCTGGGGATATAATTATCGAGAAAGCCTAGGAAAGCAGCACAACAACAATTTGATCAGTGGTAAACTTGCTGGCTCGGAAGCAATCTCGGAGACTGCGCTGTTTCCACTCCGTTATTTCCGGAAAGTGGAAAGTCTGGCGTTTGACTTTGAGAATGACAGCAATGATCTGCTTCATTGCGTCTGTGACGAGCTCCTTAACATCGTGTGTTTGTGGAACGATTTTAAGTGGACCGATAATCTTGAGGCTGTGGCATTAGATCGGGTGTTGTCTTTTGAGGCGGATGTGACTGCTAGTATCCTCAAGATTCTTGAGCTTTATGCTCACCACCTGCAGGCATTATGGTCAGTGCGTCTCATGAATGAACCTGACCAGCTTCGATGTATTCAATTCACGGAGTTCAATGCGTATTTGTAGCGGAGCTGCACAGCTCTTTAGCCAGAGGAGACTTTAGGCTGGAAGCCTCTTAGTTCTAGAGAACTAAATAGAGTAAGGCTAAAAGCCACTTAGTTCTAAGGAACTAATTAAACGACTTAAAGTCACCCTGTTCTAAGGAACGAGGAAAGAGACTTTAGTCAGGCAAGCAATAAGCTTAAGGTTCAAAGAACCAACGCACAGAGTGCAAGAACAAGCTAGAAGCTTAAAGGTTCAGGGAACCAACGCACGAAGTGCACAAGAGAACAAGTCGGAACGACTTGTGGTCTTAAACTCAAAAGGAGAACTGATTATATTTATGCATTAAGATTTTATGAATAGTCCTATTCTAAGTACACTACACTAGATTAATTACTATAATAGTAATTATTATATGCAGACTTTGCTATTTAGACGACGTATCGTCCAGACATCCGTGTATGATGTACTTAATACAGCGTTAGTGATTTATCGAATCCCAATCGATAAGATACGGTATTACCGAATACCATATCTTAACGTTCATACTTAATACCTTTCTAAAGAGTAATATAATAATGCATTTTATGCAATACAAAAGGAGAGTTTAACCGTAAACTCTCGGAAAGACGCTACAACCGTCGTGTAACCCCGTTACGCCCTCCCCCACCAGACTGACATTCCCATAGAATGTCACTTGTCATTTATCCTCGTAGAGGTAGTGCTTTAGCGAACGCTTAAAACCTCACGGTTTGTTCACGGCACATAGCATGACGCCTCCTGGCAATGAGTCAAAGACTCTTCGGGACCTCATTGAAGACAACCTTGACGAAGCGGTTGATTACGAAAGTGACACCGTCTTTGTGGGACCCGATGGGTCCCCTTTAGCCACCCTCACGGATGAAGATGACACTCGTCATGCACCAAATCCGTTCCCTGAACGTGGTGCTGCAGATGCGCTAACAGCGTTACGTGACCCGCCTGACGTGTCATCAACGGTAACGGTAACCAACCCACTCGACGAGCAGCAACAGCAAACTATCGACCAAGAGGAAGGCGCCAAGCGCCGGACGAAGAATATGGCGAGACTGCAGGACCACCGACAGTACAGGTTCAAGCCACCTACGGTGGAAGAACGCCTAAAGGAAGCATCTGGGCATTCCCTTTCTGGCTGGACCATTGGGCCTGAGGCCATTTCGCCTGAGGATGTTGCCACGCGCACGGCACTTCGAGAACGATATTTGGAACCCCACATTACTACCCAAAGCCAATACTTGGCACGCCTTAATAGGCAAGTGCGCGGTGCGCCAGTTCCTCCGATGAAGGGTGTTCCTATCCTTCTGTTCGCGGGGGAAACCGAGGAAGAAGAAGACACGGCTTTCAGCCGCTGGGCGCATTATGCGCGATGTTTAAGCAGCATGTGGGCCCTACGGGCAAGTGCCGATGTGGCATATGTTCGATTCGAGCGAAAGATGCGTTGTGATTACGCTAAGCTGAAGGCCCGGGGAAAATTGAAATCCCAACGAACGCATTATGCGTCTGCTACCCAGCATCCCAATGTATCGAATACACCTGTAGCCGCGAGTCCACGACAGGCCGAGGCCGTTAACTCGCCTATCCCCACCACTAATGGTGAGAAGCGTCACCGCCAACAGACAGACCCTGCGCACGACGCTCAAAAACGTCCACGGCATATGGGCAGTCCTGCCGAAGGGGAATCTCAAACTCCCAGGAGTTCATCGACTCGGGATAACCCCGCCACTTTACCAGATACTGGTTTTGACCATGGCGGCGACTCTTCTGCAGTAGACGCTCCACATGGAACTGAAGGTTCCCCTGTGCATCGAGAAAAGCCGTAGGCGGCCGGTGTATCGGCACAAGCTCATGCCGAGCTTATTCAAGAGGTGCGGTCCCTACGTGAGGAGAGGCAGACGATGAACTCCCGGCTGGAGTCCCTGGAAGAGAGTCGGACCCGAATGCAGGGTCAGCTTGACATGTTGGCGCAGATGCTTCGTCCCGCGACAATGCCAATGGGCTCGGCGCGAGCGCCTTAGCGTCTATTTGGGACGGATCCCGATACCTTTTGAGCATGGCGACATAGAACACAGGATGTGTACGCAATTTGCGCGGCAGGTTAAGCGTATACGCTGTGCCTTTCTTGGCAATGACCTTAAAGGGTCCAATAAAGCGCGGACGCAGCTTCGTCTTAAAGACAGCGGATACTACATTGGTAGGTAGGTTTTTAGCATTAAGTAATACTTGGTCTGTGACCTCATAATCATTAATACAACCTCTGCCTTTCGCATCTGCATATTCCTTTTGTTTATCTTGACTATCAGCCATTGCATCTTGCACGTGTCGTAGAACATCTAGTCGCGTTGCGAGAAACGCATTTACCTGTTTCTTAACAGTATTAGGGCTGACATCAGCAAGTCGATCGGCAACCTCTCCCCCACCAAGCTTGAACCACTCGGTGGTAGAGTTAACGGAACGCGTGGGTGTGTGATACCATTGACATAGAACGGAGTGTATCCGGTAGAGGCGTGCACGGAATTATTGAAAGCAAACTCAACTACAGGGAGCATAGCGCTCCAACGCTTAGGCGTTTCAGCACAAACGCTGCGTAGGATATCTTCAACAATGCGATTTACGCGTTCAGTTTGACCATCGGTCTGCGGATGATCTGCTGTGGACATGTCCACACGTGTGCCCAGCACCTGGAAGACGGATTTCCAAATTTACTCGTAAAACGAGGATCACGATCAGAGACAATTGCCACTGGCAAGCCGTGTTGGCGAAACAAACGATCGATAAACAGCTCCGCTGTACCCACACCATCGATCGAGTCTGGCACAGCCGCTAAGTGAGCCATCTTGCTCAAGCGGTCAGCAAAGACCACAATACCTGTATTGCCATGCGAATCTTTCGGTAGGCCAAATACAAAGTCCATACTAATGCACCCAGTGGGAATAGGCAAACTAGCCAGCGGCGCTGCCGAATGGGGTGAAGGTTTCACCCGTTGACACGTTTCACACGTACGCACATATGTGCTCACCCATTTGTATAATTTGGGCCACCAATAACTTTGGCATACTGCCCCATAGGTCTTTTCGCGACCCAAATGGCCACCGATGGCGGTGTCATGTACCTCATAGAGGATACGATACTTCAGATCCTCGTCATGAGGAACCACAATACGCGGAGGATCCGCCACATCTGTACGATAGTACAACATCCCCTCATCGATAGAATATCGATGGAGGCTAGCACGTAATCGTGCCGACAATTTAATGTCCGAGTCTTTAAACTCATCACTACCAAGAGCATGTAGCAACGCTATACAGTGATCATCTTTAGCATATGCCGATCGAATGAGATCACTGATAGAAGACGACAACGTCGTCACATGAGCAAGCTCATAATCAAGTCTGCGTGACAACGCATCAGCCAAAGCATTTTGCTTGCCCGGCTTATAATTAACCTCGAAGTTATATTCGGCAAAGAATGACAGCCATCTGGCCATTCTCTGCGAGAGATGCGGCGACTGAGTCGCAGTGCGTAACGACGCATGATCGGTATAGATCACAAAAGGCTTTGAGCCCAGCAGATGAACTCTGAATCTGACCAGGGCATACTTCATCGCAAGTAGCTCTTTGTCGTGAACTGGATAGTTCTTTTCTGCAGCTTTCAGCTGGCGAGATTCAAAAGCGATTACACGCTCACGGCCTTCATCATCTGATTGTAACAGAGCACTGCCAATGGCAAAATCCGATGCGTCACAGACGACGCTAAACGGTCGGTCAGGGTCTGGCAAAGCCAAAATAGGAGCATGTAGAAGGCTTGCCTTCACTGCTTGAAAAGCATTTTCGTGTTCGGCATGCCAACACCATTCCACATCCTTTTTAAGGAGATTGGATAACGGCCGAGCCATATCAGCGTAATTTTCGCTATACTTGTGTAAGTAATTGGCAAGGCCAAGCCATTTACGCAAGTCCTTCTGAGATTGTGGAACAGGCCAATCGACTATGGCTTTGACTTTGGCGGGATCCGCTCGTAGTCCTCGCTTCCCAATGAAGCACCCTAGAAAGGGAATTTCTTCGGCACCGAAGATGCACTTAGAGGCATTAGCATATAGTTTATTAGTGCGCATGCATTCGAGCACAGCTCGTAGATGAACAATATGGTTTTCAATATCTGACCGCCCATGTTCAGCTCGACTATGGACAAAAATGTCATCAAAGTACGTATGTGCATAGCTTCGATGGGGTCGAAACAATTGTGTCACCAACCGGTTAAACGTAGCCGGAGCATTAGATAGCCCCTGGGGTTCACTAACCACTCCCAGAGCATACCGCTCGGAGTACTAACAGCAGTAAGCGGAATATCACTAGCTCGCATGAGCAATTGGTAATAACCATCGACTAAGTCGAGCGCACTGTACATGGTACAACCGACCATATTGTTCTGAAGAACATCCTTTCTAGGTATCGGTGTCTGTGCAGGTATAGTGGCCGCATTGAGCTTATTATAAGCATGAACAATACGCCACTTACCATTCGGTTTCTTAACACAGAAAGTGGGTGTCGAGTGTGGAGATTTGCTCTCGCGCACCATGCCCGCCGCGTGCTTTGCACGGAAGAACTCGTCAATGACGTCACACTGTTCTTTGGTTAAATGCCACTGCCGTGTTACACAGTATTTGGTTCCGGGAACCAAGTCAATCTCATGACGTACACCCCTATCAGGTGGTAGAACCGACGGTGGATCGTGACACACCACATCCTGGAATTCCTTAACTAAAGGGTAGTAGGGATCTGAAGGGTCCTTCAAAATATGCCCCACTCCGTGCACTTAGTGCCGCTTTTGTATCTTCAAGGACTATCTCATCGACAAGCGAGGATGAGTTCAGCTCGAGGTTAGGTCGAATGACCACCATATCGGATAGAGCACCAGCCTTCAAGGCCTGATGAAATTCATCCACAGACAATTCGTCTAGCTCTAAGAGAGCATTTAATGATGGGAGGGCCTCAAGGTCAACCTCACCATCTGCATCACCTGTCACTCTGTTGACCAGGGTGTACAACTGGTCACTGACATTACCATGCGATAAAACAGACGCCTTGCGTCTCGCAGCCGCCATCTGGCGACGCTGCCGTCTCATTGACGAGACCGTACTCTTCAAGGTACTTGGAATATTATCATCCCCAAGGTCAACAGACCCTTTGACATTCACCTGCCCTATGCGAGGGCCGATGTCATTACCAACATCCAGTGGGTCACTAGTACCAGTGACTTCACTAACAAGGTCATCGACCTTAACTTGCTCTATACGAGAGCCGATGTCATTACCGACATCCAGTGAATCGTATCTACAGCCAATATCACTAACAAGGTCATCGACCTTCACTTGCTCTATACGAGAGCCGATGTCATTACCGACATCCAGTGAATCGCATTTACAGCCAATATTACTAACAAGGTCATCGACCTTAACTTGCTCCATACGAGAGCCGATGTCATTACCGACATCCAGTGTCTCAATATTACTTTGAGTATCACTCAACGGAGTACGTGCCGTTCCACTAGGTGTCACTGAGCTCTGCTCGACACTATTAATGTTGACATCGGAATTTAAAAACTCAGACACTCCAATGTCCAGCACACTAACTGAATCAGTTAACGGCTCGCGCCAATAGCACTTTTGTTTCCTAGCGAAGGTGGGTTCATGACTCTCCAAAGCTTCACTAGGAACATTGCGCGTTGCGCCTAAAGTTTTGGATCTCCAAACGATCCACGGCTCATGGCGTTCCAGCCAGCCATACCGAGAATGAGATCATATCTCGAGTCCAAATCTTGGACAAGACAGCGTCCAACGCTATTGAAGTCTAAAAACTTTACACCTAAGTTCAACGGAACTTAAGGAACGGTGACACGTACACCGGTCGCGAGACGCACAGTTATACTGTCACCCTCTTGCGCTTCTAGCGCCTCAGCATACAGCTAACTCCCTTCAAGGGAACGACGTCGGACATAATTACCTGACGCCCCTGAGTCAATTAAAATTGACCATGGTTTCTCAAAACCCTACACGGTTGCCGACACAACCAACAAGCCTGGCTTGTAATTTTGTTTTATGGGAGCATCCACAGAAGCACCTGGGGATAAGCCCTGTTTACCTTTACCTCTTAGAGATCCAACAGAACTTAGTTCTTTCCCAGTAGGGCGCCCCGCACCTACTGGGAGTTGACGTTTTCCCCTGCGGTGCCCGCCTTTTGGCTAGAAGCAGGGTTTCGACTTTGCCGATTTTGACATTGCTTTCGCAACGGACAGCTAGGGCGGAGATGCCTAGTGCATCCGCACATGTAACATCTACGGATGCTACCTTGCTGTTCTGAAACTTGAAGCTCAGCTTCTTCAGATTGACTGAGATCCATGGGTTCCGCCCTATTAGAGGTATTTGATTGATACCAGGGCAGACCATATCAAGCAGATTTAAAATTAAATTCAGCGTTAAACGCTACGCTTACTGCCTCCTCAAAAGTCGAAGGCTGGACACGGAAAACTTCCGTCCTGGCGACCCCAGTGCGAAGTCCTTCCATAAAAATGGTTACTCGGACTTCCTCTGCCAATGGATCCTGCTGCATAGCAGCAATGAGAGATCTCAACTCTTGGACATAGTCCGACAATTCTTTCTTACCCTGTCGGGTAGCTAAGAAGCGTGAGCGCACACGATAAGCCTGCAAACACACAGGTTAATTGCTTTTTAAGCATTTCCCATGTGGGGAATGCAGCATTTACAGAGACACCGCTGGTTAAAGCCCACTCTCTAGCTCTTCCACCGAGCTTTGAAATGGCCAAGCCAACTCGTTGCTTATCGGATGCAAGCATGGCGGCATCCATTGCCATTTCAACTTCTTGGATCCAGAGGAGAATATTTTCTCCCTCCTTCCCCTCGAAGGTCTTTACGTTCAAAACAAGTGGGCGAGCTTTTGGCTCTGCATCGGGCACAGGTACCGGAATGTACTGTGTAGGTGCAGCTGACGCTACCTGGTCATGGACCTGCCCGAGGAGCGTTGCTTCATAATGCATAAAGGCCTCAAGACGAGCATTTAGAACCTCGGGACCTTGGGCCAAAAGGGCCTCGATTTGATCGGGCCCGACGAACGCAGATAGTTTATCTAAGGCGAGTCGCTGTGCCTCAGAGAGGTGATTTTGATTCTCCATCCTCACAGAGGGTCAGTCTTTTAAAGACTCAGGTGTAGGATTGACTACAAGTGCTACCAAGTGTAGCGGAGCTGCACAGCTCTTTAGCCAGAGGAGACTTTAGGCTGGAAGCCTCTTAGTTCTAGAGAACTAAATAGAGTAAGGCTAAAAGCCACTTAGTTCTAAGGAACTAATTAAACGACTTAAAGTCACCCTGTTCTAAGGAACGAGGAAAGAGACTTTAGTCAGGCAAGCAATAAGCTTAAGGTTCAAAGAACCAACGCACAGAGTGCAAGAACAAGCTAGAAGCTTAAAGGTTCAGGGAACCAACGCACGAAGTGCACAAGAGAACAAGTCGGAACGACTTGTGGTCTTAAACTCAAAAGGAGAACTGATTATATTTATGCATTAAGATTTTATGAATAGTCCTATTCTAAGTACACTACACTAGATTAATTACTATAATAGTAATTATTATATGCAGACTTTGCTATTTAGACGACGTATCGTCCAGACATCCGTGTATGATGTACTTAATACAGCGTTAGTGATTTATCGAATCCCAATCGATAAGATACGGTATTACCGAATACCATATCTTAACGTTCATACTTAATACCTCTCTAAAGAGAAATATAATAATGCATTTTATGCAATACAAAAGGAAAGTTTAACCGTAAACTCTCGGAAAGACGCTACAACCGTCGTGTAACCCCGTTACAGTATTATAGTGATCGAAGCCAAAGGAGCTTGAATACGACTGCTCGCTTTCAGTCACGAATACTAGGGGTGTCAGAGAATCGTGGGGATGGTCCTATTTGCGACTCGAGAACTGTTGTTCAACATGTGGCAACCGAAGCCCTGGAGCATCGCCTTGCTGAGGAGTATTGGAATCGAAAAGTCACCGCACTTTCTAATCGGAACCCAGGCGATGACGAGATGGAAGTGGGTTCCGCCTCCAAACTTCAATTACTGAGTGATGAAGTCATTTGCCCGTGGGACCAACATACTTTGGTATCATATTTACTACGGTGGAGCGACGTGTATGCTATTCGCACGGAAGTGAACGCGCTCTCAGTTGTTACAAACCATATGATGAAGCACGAGGTCCAGAAGTTTAGGTTCATGGGTCGTGACGACACTAACGTGACTAGTGGCAGTTATGTGAACAAGACGATGGTTGATTCATCGACAAGGCAGCTTCTTGCTGCTGTAAGTCGTGCGCAAATGCTGATCCAGGATGCTGTAATTGGTTCCGAGAAACTTGCGCTACATTCTGCATCAAACCAGCTTCCTAACGAGAAAAAACAACTGAAGCCGTTAGATTTCGAAGGCAGAACAGGAAATAAAACAAGCTTTTCCAGCAGGGAAGCTGCACCATCTTGCCCGAATTCGACTTGCATAAATGACGCAGGTGCTCACTCGGATGATGCTGTTTCGGAGACCGTTTGTCATGCTGAAGCCATTGCGTCGAAAGATGCAGACAGCTACGACGCTATTGAAGACGTAAACATTGACATTGGTATGACTGGAGAACAACCTGAAGTAAATGATCTGATTCAATTATTGGCCGTCACGAAACAAGACATGCAGGAGCTTTGCGGCCACAAACCGCGGTCAGCTCGCATGCGTGAGAAAGTTCAGATGCAATCACTGCAGCTTGCGCGGCAAACGGTCGATATTTTCCGGAATATTAGGAACATGTATGGTTCCCAGCGGCGATAATGATGGAAATGTCAACATGGTGCAGTGCCAATATGTATTGAGTCTGCAATCCTCAGGCGAGGTAAACGTTCTGAAGCTGTGATAGTATACTGCAGAATAATGTCTGACTCGTTTCCCGCCTATCGGATACACGTATTTGCTGGAAACCCAAGACGTCTAGCCTCATGTCACCACAACGTTGTCCGATGCCTGAAAAATCTTATGGGATTTGCGCTGGACATGATTGAAGACAAGAGGTGACCAGTGAACGTATTGATCAGAGACTTGGATCTTGGTGTCAAAAGTTTGTATACGAGTTGAGTCTGCTCCAAATGATGTCCTGAGAAGCGTTTTTGCTCTTGATTGTTCCAAAAAATGGAAAGCCCGCTCATTACAACAATACCACCCGTTTCAATGCTCCGAGAGAATACAACGTGGTTTCTATGGACGAAGTTTAAAAGTCATACGATGAAATGATGCTGTTGCATCTTCCGAAAGTGTAAAGATTGCGCAGCTGTGGTTGCACGTTTGTGCTGCTGCATGTAGCTTCTTGGTTGCTATACCGGCTCATGGACGACCCAATGTTTCCAACCTCTTTTGAATTTTGCGTAAATAGATTACTTTTGGATACGTTATTTGTGTTGTAGCGTTTGCTTTATCTTTAACACTTGAACTCATCCAATTGTTCACGTAAGAATTGAAAGCTAACCTCATCAATTCACCATGATTCAACTCAATCGAATGCGGCCAGAAAAACTCTTCCACACCTTCTCGATTTCATTATGCTTCCACTTCATGCAAAAACAAAACGTGTCAGGATTCTCGATGTAAACAAACGTCTTCATCACAAGTGGATCATCGGTCCTCGATGATCCACTTCTTAAACGATAGAAGACGCGCTCGGTGCAATACAAGTCGTATACCTTCACCAACACCTCGACCTACACATGCAAGCGTCAGCACATTCGCACATACACAACAGAATATACGCACATACAAGTACCTTGTATCTGCTGCCATTTGATAGTTTCTCCTCAACAGATACTGGGAACATGTTGACGATGGGAATGTCAAGACTGAGACCGTCGTAAAAGCCATGCATTTCGCGAGAAAGTGCGAGCCTATTGTTCGGATCGTGATCGAACTTGCCAAATGGACTCTTGTTGCGATTGCATTGCTTTCTCGAAATCATGTGGCAGCTTTCTGGCTTGCCGTATGGGTAAAACAGCCAGTCTTCTTCAATTCCCATACAACGATACTCTTCACTTGCGAAGTCCAGAACCGAACGGATTGTAGACGACGAAACAGATACCAGTGTAGTCTGCGGAGAATCTGACTCCTGTGAATCATAGTCGAGAAACTGCGATATGATGTAGTTCAATATACCCAGCTTCAAATCGTGTGAATTTGCACGTAATAATTTGGCCGGACAATCGAGAGCCAAGCGTATGCGGATCCGAATCCAAGGCATTTTTGAATAGCCATGCATCTTTTTCTGAACAAGTAAACGAAAGAATTAGTAAGTACAAGCAGCACTATTACACAGTGGCAAGATCGTCGCACCTGTCTTGAATAGAACATGAATGCGCAATTTCTTGGCTTCATACCAAAAAGCGACATCCTTGTCTTTTTCTTCATTCCGGAGCGCCGGATCGTAGTATCCACACTGTGCTGACGCCAGCCGATAAAGATGGTAGCGAATTCCTTTTGTGTCCAGCGCGTTCTCAATAGATCCGCTGACGAGCCACAACCCTATCTTTGGTTGTGTATGCTCCGGAACCCTCACCAGCACGTGAATTTGTTTTCCTTTTGGATCCTCCATACCTTCAAGGAGATCGGCAATATAGTCCTCTCCTTGCAGCTTTCGGTCTTCTTTCATTAACTCTACAACGTGATGAGTCTTCTCGCCCTTCTTCAGCTTTATTACATCGTCCGAGCTCGAGGCCAGCCACTTGCCCTCTACCATCTTGGCAGGGTAGAGCTGCAGGTCGCTTGCAGGACATTGAAGGTCTGAGTTCTTCACCTTGATAGCATCTTTTAAGTCCCCCACCAACTGTCTCTTGTCAATATCCACAGGAAATACGCTTTCTTTCGTACCAACGATTATACAGAAGAGCTTGACCATTTTTTAGTCGGCAGATTGTCGAATGAGCGAAAAGGATGTGGGACATCCTTTCATTCTGATTGGCTGACTACCACAATAACATATTGATGCCCTTCTTCTACGCAAACGACTCAGACGGGTCAGAGTTGTCCTTTCTAATCAACCAAAGTCGGACTGAGCCGGTTTCACTGCAAGTATGACTACTAAAACAGTAGAAATAGGTCAGATTAATCTCTACTATGTCACTGGCACATAGTTTTATACTCCCTGTAAATCGACCAGCTGAACCCCTCACTCTCTCTCTCCTATGTCTCTTCTGGCTACAATGATGAACGTTGTCATCGCCTTCATGGATTCACCGTTTGTGCTTGTTGCAGTAATCAAGTGTATCCGTAGCCAAAGACGTCCAAGTACCTTTTTTGCTGCTATTGAGATCATCGGCTTACAGAAATTTCAATACTGTGCAGATCAAAGTGGATCAGATGACGAACGATGCCACTGTAGCTCACACGAGCAGATTAAAAGGTTTGAACAGATATAAGTGTTTGTGGCCGCTACAGTCGCTCACGACGCCCCAATTATTTTCATCTTGGCCTTGTACAAGTCCAATGTGGACGTGGTGTGCTAGTACATTTGCTGCAGCATACCCATCC